ATCTTTAGAAGATTGATAGGGAAGGTTTAGGATATTATTTAAAGCATGAAAATGTGTTTTTCCCCAAAAATTTTTAGGGTTTCAAAAATTAGGGATTTTTCAATTTTCAATTTCTTTAAAAGTTTCTTAACAAAAATTGTTTCTAATGCTCTTAAGAAGATTTGTAAATGATAAAATTTAGGATTTTGCACAACTTTTAATTTTTCTAATTTTTTAATTTAATTAATACGAAAATATTAAACCCTAATTATTAAATTAATAATGGGGGAGTTTTGGCATGCAATTGGAATGAAATTAGTGAATTTATGGTTTTGAGTAAATCTGAAAATTTAATTAATTTTGTTTTAAATAAGGAATTAGAGAGGATTTAATTTGGTTAAAGTATGGATTTAGACGAATTAGGGAGGTTTAAAATTAGGGATTTATTAAATCCAAAAATATAAATTTAATTAATTATTTAATGAAAATGTATTATGATTAAGGCTTAGAAATAATGTTTGTATTTACATTTATACTTAGCTATCGATAATAAAAGGACGCCTCAAGCATAAGCGACGTTGTTGAGGTTTACTGTACTTGTGAGATAGGTATTCATACATCTTTTAAGTTTATAAGTTTCTCTTTCATTAAATGTTAAAATTATACATGTTTTAATGTTTAATTTTAGTTAAATTACAAGTCATACTGCAATATGTATGTTCCCTTTTAGAGTCAGTTGTGAACATGCAAAATTTCAGGAGAACATTTGAGCATGAAACATTATTAGACAGACATATATGAATTCATGAATGATTTAATTTTCTTATATTAAGTATTGAGTGTTTGAATGTGCATGATGATCCGAAGTACCAAATGGTAAAGAGCTCTTCGAGGCAAATGGTAAAGAACTCCTCGGAGCAAATTGGTAAAGGACTCTTTGGAGTAAATGAAATGAAATATTTGGTCAAATTTGAATATGTACCTGATCAGTGCAAATTATTGGTATTTCCCGGACTGGTGTATACAATTAAAACTATGTATTCTATGCTTCTTTGTATATAAGAATGATAAAGGAAAAGTTAAGAAAAGAAAATAAAATTAAGGAAAAAGTTATGGGCATTCAAACTGTTATGCATTCCAAATGTTACATGGATTAGGCATACTTAAGCCTTCTCATTTTATTTAAGTCTTGTCATATGAAAAGTTTACTGCATAATATTTCTTCTTTCCTTGCATTATGAATTTAATTGAGATATTTATTACCTGCTGAGCGTTAGCTCACCCCTGCTTGTACGAATATTTTTTAGGAGAACCTGTTAAGGATTAATGGCAGAGAGACCGGTAACTTACCAACGTAGAACAGTTGAAGGGAGCAAGTTTTTATGGATTGTATTAGTTGTTGTGTCGTGGACTATTGTTGTGTTTTTTTTATGTTTTAAGGCATGTTATGTTTTTGATGTATTAGAAATGTTTGTATTGGAAGTTTAGTGGCTCTTTCTTATGTTGTTAATGGATGTTTATTTGAGTTTATGTTAATGATGAAAAGAATATATTAAGTTTTTTTTTTTTTTTTGTAATTACCGTACGACCGTCTATTCCTGCCCCGTTAATTTGAGCTAGCCGGGCCGGGTCGTGATAGATCCATAAACTCCTCATAAGTCAAGAATGCCAATGTCGTTTGATTAGTTGTTGTGTCTGCTTGAAATTTAGTAAACCTAGGAAAATGGAGAAATATTTTTTTATATTCCTACCTTGCCGGGAAAATTGGATTTGAAACACATTATCCACTGGTGCTTTCATACTATTAAGGCAACCATCAAAAGTATATGCATGTTCATATTCTAAGTCACAAGCATCCTGGCAACATTATAAACATGTAGAGTAGGCGCTAACATTACTTATGGGTCAAAGTAAATATTCAGGCTTGACAATGAGGCCCGTACCACATCATCGGGCAGATGGATCAAAAGAAAGGGATAACACAAATTTCATTATGACACTAGGTTTTGATTACACTCCATATCTAAAGTAGAAGGAACAATGACCACCAAGTTTGAAGGGAGGCTGACCATTTGATTGATCCCCATTGATTGTTGGGACCCACATAAGACGCTTTTCTTAATTCATGAAGAGTCTTTAAGCAACTTGAGCGTTTGAGACCAAAAATTTTACAAGTGAACTATAATAGTAAAGCATGCCCTTAAATCAACCTTTTGCAAAAAAATAGTTAAAAAAGAATCAATACAAATATCCTTTTTCAAAGAAATTGTAACATCAATTTCAACTAGGACCCAAGCTATAGATAGCCTTTCAATAGCAACATCACTTGTAAATGTTTACCAAAAATAGAGCTAATAGAATCTAAAGTGAACTGATTAAAATAATGAACATGAAACCGGAGAAAAATAACAGAAGCCAAGTTATCGGGGTTCTTCAAAGGAATCAACATGTAGAGACATTCACATAAAAGGATACTTTAGAATAGTCTTAAGTAGTTGATGGGGACATCAGTTGGAAAGTCTACCGTCGACGTGGCCGTAGATCTACGGCCACGATTTACCCGATGTATTTCTGATTTTAGTATGATCATTTTATTTTGATGTATTTTTTATTTCTGCATTTTTCACTTTTTACCCTTGCTTGAGGGATTGAGTCTTGTAGCCCCTCGAGGGTATTTTAGTCTTTTATTTTATGTCATTGTATTAGGCTATTTATAGCCTTCTTCTTGTACTTTTGATGTTTAATGAATGATTAAAAAAAATTTCCTGCATTTTGTCTTCTTGAAGCTTTTGTGTGGAGCTTGAGAGTTGAGATTTTGGTGGAGCCTAGGAGAGGCCACCCGTAGTACCCAACAGTCACCACCATTGGCTCTTGGTTTTCTTTTGTTTTCTTCCTTCCATCTACCCAACATCCACCTCCGACCATCATCCACCACCAACCACCTCTTTATAGCCCCACCCAACCAAACTCAACAACACCACTTTCTCAAAACCCTCACCTCCCCATCATCCCGCCGGCCTCCCCTCTTTCCACCGCCCCTCCCTTCAACCCATCACCGGCCCCTCCATACCATCTCCACGAATTTCATATTTTGAAATTCAAAGTGAACGTTTCCATTTTTGTCCGACGCCAAATTTGAAAAGTTTTTCATGCGATTTCAAATTTCAAATTTGAATTTGAGCGGATTTGAAATTTTCTTCATTTATTAAACGGAGCGGATTTGGAAACGCATAACTCCTCTTCCCAAAACCCCCAAATCCCTCTCTCCTTGCCGCCGGCCCCCATCAATGGGTCCCTCTCCTTTAATGCTTCATGAAGGGGATTAATTGCAAGGTATTCAAATTTCAAATCCATTTATTTTCCCTCCAAACTTACTCAACTCTGAAAATAATTTCAGATTTGTTTGTTAAAACAATTTCTTGTCCACCCAAACCTAACCCCTTTCCAACCCTAGCCGTTTTCCCCTCTTACAAACCGCCGGCCTCTCTCCCCCACCGTCCACCTCCTCTCTCTCTCTCGCCCCTTCCCCTTCTTAAGGTGTTTCTCCTTGTTGAGTTGAGGTGTGTGATCTACTCGAAGCTTGACTCCTACTTCACATCCGATGGTCAAAGACTCGTGGATCTTCTCAACTTTCCTTCATCGGAGTGATTCAAATCCTTGACAGATCTCTTGAAATTCCAACCTCCCGTAATAGCCGTTGAAGGAACAACTATTGGAAGGTACGTGGTGATCTACGTCGTCTCTCCGAGAAAGTGATTTTCTTCCTTGACTCATTTACTTTCAAATTCTAATTTCTTTGAGAGAATTCGTTCAAAGCAAGAGATTGTGTCTACTTATTGTCATCCATTAGTATTCATAGGAATTGTTACTTCTTTGCTCCTAGACCTCATTGTTATAATTTGGTTATGTTGGAAACTACTACTTATGCAATGTTTTAATTCTTCTAAGTGTTTTGATGTGGTTTAGTCTCTTGTGTGGCTTAGCCTAAGCGAAAGCAACTGTTTATTTGTTTTACGTTGTTGTTTTAATCGCTAATAACGAAAATCTGAAATTGTTCTTAAATATTTTGTGCAAGTCTCCGATTTAGCATATAGTTCTACATCAGTAGTCTCCTTCTAAAGATAATTTTATAGGCGCATGGTGCGGGTCAAGCAGCCAATAAAGTAATCAAACAAAAATAAGACAAGGATCTATGAATAATCTCAAAATTAGGACTACCACAGAAACTTTATCGCCAAAGAAATAAGAAAATGAAGCCACAAACTCGAAAATCTCAACTTCAAAGTAAATGAGAACATATTATAGTGGAAGATTGAGACCAGTTTGTGCCGAGATGAATCTAAATCTTACTAAAACAATAAAGGAAAACGAGTGGCAGAAGGAAACAATGAATCCTTCCCACCCACTACTTCAACAAAAGAACAATATGCACACGCACCAGCAGCAACACATATTAACTTGACACATGGGGAAGAATTGCAAGGGCAAACCAGGCTTTTGAAATAACAGGCGGTGATGGAGGGTGAGCAGCACCAACAAAGAGAACTACCAACACTATAACTCGATCCATAGGAGGTTTAGTAGATGAGGAGAAAGTTGGTGAAGATCAAGTTTTGAGTGGAGACTTCTAGAATAATTTAGATTGCAAGTACATAGTATTATGTTTTAGGAATCTATGTTCCCACCAATCACCTTGTTTCATATAACATTAAAAAATGGTTAATAGAATTTTACAAATAAATGCATGAAGATAAAAGGTATTATAGTTCTTTCCCTTAATTATGATCCATCGGATCTTTAAAAAAAAGGAACATTACTCAAAATAGCCACCAACTTCTACACCAGAGGTCATAATTCTGAAAGCAAAAGATAAAAAAAATTGCAAGATTTCTCAATCCATAGCTCTCTTGCGAATAGTCGGATATAGAAAAATAGTAGCTTAACAAGAATACCATAAGCACAAAAATATGCCGTATTTAAAACATGAGACAATCGACTAGCTGTGTAGGTGCCTTTATTACCTCAAGTGAGTCAATACTATCACTCAGTTGTTGTCGCACAGAAACAAACTGTTCTTCCAAACTAGAGACCTGTGAATGCTCAGCTTCAAACTTCTTAATCAACTCCGCTACTTTTTCCTCGTACATTTGCGTAGTATCAGCAAGCAACTTCTGAAAAGCTGAGCTCTCAAGTTGGTGCTGCCAATAATATCAAAAATTAACAAAAAAAATTATGTCAAATATTATTGGATAAGTCCGCTACTTTAGTGATGCACCTACGCAATGCACTTGCATACATGCACTATCTTTAGTGTGCTTAGTCACACAATGCACTTGCACATCCATTGGTGCACTTGCACATTCTTCTGTACACTCGCACACTGCATTAGAACATTTTCAGTACATTTACACAAGTGCGGTTAGGAGATAGGAGGCGCGTGGAAAAGATTTCTTTCGATTATTTACCATGTCATGCATATTTTGTCAAAATGATCATGCAACCCATGACATGCAACAGTTCACCCTTTATTTCAGTTGGAAGAAATTCGGTCATGAGCAACACTGTTCATTCGCAGAGTGTACTGCCTACTCACAAGAAGTGTACGAGCCACCTTTTTAGCAATTATGGTGCACGTAATTTTGAGTATTCATATACATGTGATGTGCAATAGGTTTGACTATTTCAATCAGTTTGAAGATTATTCACATGAATATAATAATTTGAGATATTCAAGGGCCGAAGAAGCAATTGTTCACATGAATGCACTATCAAGAGAGTGTGCTCAGGACTTGGCACTTTTAAGTTTATTAATTCTCACATTCTCTCCATTTGAGTGGATTATGGATCGAGTTGCAAGGATTATCATTAAAATATTCGTAGTGCTTCATTTTGAAATTTTAAAAGATCACCCTCCGCCTTCTATCTACTTGCATACATGTGTAGCAAATCCGGCGGCATGAAAGGCAAATTCGAATCTCAGCACATTTTTCATTTTGTCCCTTCTTTCTTCTTGTATGGTTTCATTTTAGTTTGGGGTAACCCATAATGTGCGCTCTAAAATGAACTAAAACTAACTTTCACAAGACAAATTTTGCACTGAGTAATTTTTTTTCATCATTATAGCATCTCCATCCTGAATAAATTATAATTTTCCACCAATACAATTGTAATCCTCTAGCCAAACATTGCTATGAGAAAAAATTTAGAACTAAATGGAACTAATTTTTTATAACAGCGCTAGAAAACTTCGAGTTTGATCACAGGCAAACCTTAAAAAAATACTTTCAATACGAACTTCCTCGTGAGTTTAAAAGCATAGCTAAGCGCTCAACATCTGTAAACTTTATCAAGAAAATGGCCAAAGGTGTATATTACATCTCAAGTGACAATGTCAAAATGTGTAGATCAATGACTGTATCTAGACACCTGGAGAAAATATGAAGTAGAAAGTTCATTGCATTAACAAAACTCTATCTTGCGTTCTGAAATTCTGTAACCGCAAGAAATTTCTCCAGCACAGAACCTTCAGAAATTAGTTCTAAAAAGGGTTACCTTGTTTTTCATAGCAAGATTTTTCTTGGCTTCAGCTAAGGATATTTCACACTCTTTCAAACGCTTTTCCATGTTCTCTTTTTCACAATCTCTAAGTCTCTGCTGCCTTTCCATCTCAGACGTAAGAAAATCTACCTGATTCTCAAGCTTTCTGCACAAGCTCTCATAATCAAATTCTTCCTTTAGCTTTACTGTGTTGATGACCTTCATCGCCTGGCAATCAGAAAGCATAAATAAATTGAGCACAATATTTCAAAATAAAAAATTCTTCAAATTACATACCACATTACCATAGTAACCGTACAAGTGCAAGAGATTAAAGCTACAAGATCTAGGGAGACAAAATTCTGGGAAAAACGATCATAAAAAGCATCTATATACATTCGCACAATTTTTAGTATGTTCCCAAGGCAATTGAAAAGAGCACAACAAATAAAAAAAATTAGCAGTGAAAAGGGCTAATGATACAAGAGCAAAACAGTAGGATATGAAATTATTGGACATGTAATAGAAAATAAAGAATATTTATGTGCAGGACAATTAGATAAAATTTTCTAATGCTGGACAATTGGAGCAATAATATTATCACTGATAAAGTCCATGGGGTAAAATCATTTAAGAAACTAAATTTTATGTATAAATTAAGCTGTTGAATAAGTATTTGTTGATCCACAATAAGGGTAGTAAACAAAACTGACCCTCTGTCCGAACATTATTGTGCTTGCTGTTTCAGAATAGTGTCGACTAGATGGCCCAACTGTTATGACAAGAGACGTCCTTGCATTTCCTGCATAACCACGAAAGTAGGAAAAGTATACGATAGATCAAATAGAACAAATTATCATATAAGTTGGTGTCGAATAAAATCATAATTATGGAAATTATTTGAAGAGAAAGTTCAAAAAAGAAAAAAAAAACGCAATATGGAAAGGTCCACTCAATAATCTAGAGATGTGCTCCATTATTCATAATAGTAAGGAGAAAAATCAAATTCAAAAGATCACCAGATGAATTAACCCGCTAGTAAACTAATGAAAATAACTTGAGCTATGTGCCTTCAGGTAGCAATTATGTAGGAGAAATGCAGCAGTTTATAATAAGACTTTAAACTAAATAGAAAATGTAACCAAACTAGAGAGAAAACCTCCAAATGAATCACGGAGGAGCCTTGTAAGCTTGGAGTCTCTTGTTGGTATATGCGGACTGTTTTCAGCTAAAGCGTTTATACATTTTCCAAGGGAGGTAAGTGAAAGATTAATAAACTTTGCCTCTTCCAGCATGTGACCCTCGCTACCTTCAAAGTGCAAAATAAGTTACAATAAAATAATAAGAAAAAATTTTGATGAATGAAAATTGCTATTCTAGTATCCGCAATAGAAAAGTAAAATTCACATGCAACAAATAAAACCAGCCTAACAAATAACAGATACATTCTAAATGTCTTACCACTAAAAGCTGAAAAAATGAAAGTCACTGCCACCTAATACAAAAGCAGCAATTACAATCAATCACATCATACTTCTTATCAACAACACTCTGTTATTGCCTATACTTCTCTTCCAAAAGAAGATCTTTTTTCGGGTTCAGCATGGCATCCATAAAATCTACCCACATAATCTTGCGCAATTGTGCACACTGTTTCCACAGCACTACGCAAAACTTACTAATGTCATTTTACTAGGAATTAACACATTGAATCCGGGAAAAGAAACTTCCTTGGCTTCTTTATGCATGAGACAAGGGGCTTTTACAACACAAAGCACTCATTCAACAAGACTTCCACACAATTGGATGCAAATCTGAAGGGCTCCCATCTTGCAGATTTTCCTTCTGCAGCTGCCGTTTACTGGGACAGTAACTGCTTCAGTCTTCCACCTAAGGTCTTCCATCTGAAGGCACTACAGCTTTATCCGGGTCTTCCCTTAATTGGTGCTCCTTTCCTTCGATAGGTTTTAATTCCTTCTCCCCACTGTAGCTCAAGTCGTCTGCTAGGTTTTCTTTTGCAGCACTAAAGCTGTATTCGATTTTTAATTCCTTTATGGCATTCCACAGTATCTGAAAAGACGGGACTAGCTGGAATTGCCAGAACGTAGTTTTCAAAGTTGAAAAATTACTATTTTTATATTAAAATTAAGATTTAAACTTATTTTTATTCAGTTCTTCAATGGCTATTACCTAATTTGTTGCTTTCCTCCTATAACTTTTTTCCTTCTCTACACTGAATCTAACCTAGGTTGCTTAGTTTCGTTTTGCGAGACTCAAATTGTATTTGATTTTTGCCTTCATTTCTAGACATACTTTGCCAGGCAAAATTGCACTCCTTTGAATTGCAAAGGGGTTTTTAAGTTGAAAATTTACCATTTTTTGCTGAAACTAAGATTGGAAAGTTGTACTATAGGAATTCAAATGTAGCGAATTGAAACACACGGTATTAAGCCAGATTTTAAAGGATTTTGAGGAATTACATATTTTAGATTTTTCTTAGGTTGTAGATAGAACACCTGAGATGTGTAAAAAATACCATTATATAGTTTATAGTGTGATAAAATTGAAATTTTCTTGTAATTCTCATGCGTGCAATTGGATGTGACTTCTTCAAGAATTCTACAAGTTTTGATGACAACTTCAATAAAACGTGTATCTATGCAACGATGTGAGGCATAGATATTCCAGTAATCAACTTAATTATTGGTTCTTCCCTCTAATGTGTTTAGAATTTTGGGTGCGAGAGTGATTAAGTTTTTATCAAGTTTTCCATAGGTGAGTTTTCATTTTTGCGATGTAAATTTCATTCATTGTACAATTTTACATCATTTCTCAATTTTCATGTAGAATTTTAGATTCTTGGTGACTTCACAATATCGTTTCAAAGGAATTAAGTGTTTTTTTTTTCTTTTTCATCTAACACCACTAATATTTGATTAAATTAAAGGTTGGAAATTACAAATTATACTATTTTGTTTTAACTTATACACCTCAACCTAGATTTGCATCACTGAATCCTAGATCCTAATACACCTTACATCACAATTCCAATATGTATGACACCCTTCACTTTCAATATTTTTCTTTTCACGACTTTGACCATCTGCATTCCATTCAAAATCTCATTCTTTCTTAATGCAATACTTTAAGTACTAGGGCTTCCATTCTCCTCATAACTAAGGTTTTCTTCACATTAAATCCCATTTTTTCCGGTAAATGTAACTCATGAAGTTACCTAGTTCGCCTCTCTGAATGGACTAAGGAAGCGAGATTGCCAAATCATCAGCTCAAATCAGATTTCTTCTGAAGAAACACCATCAGCCAAGAAATAGTTCTATTCCTTCTAGTTTAGAATGGATAATAAAATTCTCTTGGGTCAATCTATGGGTTATGATGGAGCCTGTTTTTTGTGCAAACCGAAGTGACATCCACATCGAGGTGATCAATAATAAAGTCCTTAAACAAACTATATTAAAACAAAGGCAAGGCTGAGTGCATCTAACACTTCGTAAAACCAAATCAGCAGAAACCTCATGCACTTTAGGTAAATCCTGTTCAGTAAAAGATGATCCAGTAAACTGTTTTAAGATACAAAAGAAATTTAAATTTTCAAAACAGAATATAATCATGTAGGCCAAGATTAAAATCCCGATTAACGATTCTTGGATTCGGAATTGAGGTGAAGTTAGGTATTGCACTAAGTTGACTGATGCAACAATAAGAGTTTGAACGATGGCAAAAGCATTGTAAAGGCATGGAATTATAAATGATGCACCATAAACAAGTTCTTTAAGGTTGCATTGAGGTGGACATCAATTGAAAGTTAAGTGAGCTCAAAAGCTCTACCAATTTCCTTCACCTCCCGTCGCCCTCATCCACACATCTCAGCAAATTCTGAACCCTATCTAACACGCCATGGGCTACTGCCTTCCAGTTTCTTCTCTCTTAAAGGTGCCATGCCTAACAATACCTAACTACCATTGCATATAGCAATTACCACAACCTGAAAATTTTGGATAACAAACATCATTGATTCAAAACTAATTAAGTTAATTAAATTAACAATAAATCTCACAAATTATAAGCAATCAACATTCAAAAGACACAACAAAGTTGATGGATGAGAACTTGAAAACTATCCTAGGAACATTTTCAAGAGAAAATAAAAAGATGTCAAAGCAAAGATAATGACTTCAGAAAGTGTTCCTCACTACAGCAGTAAAATTCTTTATGCACTATACCTTCTAGAGAGTTAAGTCGTACATAGTGATTAAAATTTTTAAGATAATAAGAAAGATATAAAGAAAAATCAAACAGCAAGGGAGAAGGACAAAATTCTTAGCTATACCAGATTTATCAATTCTTTCGGATCCAGCAAGATCAACAACTAGCAACTTGCTTTTCAGTATAGTTGGTACATTGGATGAAGGCATATCATTAGTAGCGGTGACAGCTAGTGATGATGAGCCATTTCCCTCCTGCCCTCTAGAAGATCTCTGCACATAAACCTGGATCAAGAAAAAGATGAATTTCCAAATACGGGCTCATCATAAAAAGAAAGAATTGATGGACAAATACTCTGCAAATAAATGAAGCATTCCAAATAGATAAAAGAGACTCTATGCAACTACCATCAGAATGGCGTGGCTTCGAGAAGATTCGGTATTCAACTTAGTATTAGCAGCATGACGATTTGCTTCCCCAATCTGCAGCAACTCCAGAAAATGTTGAATATCCATTATTTGAAAAATAGCAGCACCAGGCAACGACACTTCACCTGACTTAGGGTCTTCAGAAATAGAAATGCTGACTTTTTCAGGAGCCAAGAGATCCTGAATTGATTCTAAATACAACTGAACCAATAATTCCAAGATTTAACCATAGTCTTCAAAGTCATACAAAAATACATACATAAACATGCATATTTATATAATTACAATAAAAAAGTCAATTGAGATTTCAGCAAAATAAATTTTCAGCCATTCAATAAATAAATTTATTCGAATGGTTAGAGCTCCATCAATGTAGTTTAAACCTCATTTAGAATCTAATACTAAAAAACCATTTGGGTCTCAATGTAGTTTCACATAAATCAATTATGAAATTCAAAAAATTCATTGATTTCAATATTTGGATCTCCATCTTTCTTGTCTAAATGAAAAATATTCTTCCAAGTTAGAACAAGTAAATAAATAAGATAAATTTGTCAATTCACTACAATCATTTGATAATTATCTTTAATTGACTTAACATAATACTGTCATCCTTTATGCTTTCATTGCATAAGTGTTAGCATATTTTTAATAATAAAAATTCAAAAAAAATCTCAAAATAGTCCTCGGGATATTCGTGTATGGCCAATTTAGTTCCAGAGTATCACATTTGCCCCAATTTAGTCTCTCAACTATACAAAATTGATCCGAAATAATCCCCATGTTATAATTGTGATATAAAATAAATCCAAATTTAGCCCCATGACTCTACAAAATTGATCCCAATTTAGTCCCAAAGGGACCATTTTGGATCAATTTGTATAGTCAAGGGATTAAATTGGAGCAAGTTACACTCTTGGACTAAAATGGCCATATATGAATTGTAAGGGGATTTTGAAATTTAACCCATTATAATAGTTGCATAAGAGTTAACATATTTCTAATAATAAAATTTAGAGAAATCTCAAAATAGTCTCCAGACTATTACTGTATGACCAATTTAGTCCAAAAGTATCATGTTACCCAAATTTAGTCCCTTGACTAAACAAAATTGATCCAAAATAGTACCTCATATTATAATTATGATATAAAATTGAACATAATTCAATCCCTCAATTTACAAGATTGATCCCAATTTAGTCCTAAAGTGGCCATTTTGGATCAATTTTATTGAGAGATTAAATTGGAGCAACGTTATACTCTATGATCAAAATGATCAAACAATAGTCGAGAGACTAACAAAATTGTTGTAAAAGAGCTAAAATATTTCTTATGATAAAATTGAGAGCTGCAATTTAAGTGTATGTTTGGTTTCATGGATCACTAATGTAAGGAAACCCAAATGCATTTATTTGGAAATTTAGTTATTTGGCATACTACATTTCAAATGCAATGTAATTCTAATGTAGAACCAAAAGCAAGCCATGATTAACAATTAGAAATCTGAAATTTTTCTAGCAAATAGAAGATCTGAAATTAATTTGGGGGGGATTGATCAGGAGGAGAATTAATTAGAGGGAGCAAAAGGGAAAGAGGGGGAGAGAGAGGGCCAGTGGTTATGGGAGTGGGGAGGGGATGTGGGAGGGAATTAAGGGATTGAGATAGATTGCCAATCATAGCCAATCTAAAGAGAGAAAGTGGCTTAAATACAATTGACTCTCTAAATTAAATTTGAATTTAATTGGCCTTGATCGGAGGGACTTTCCTAATATAACTTCTCTTATTTTAGAAAAGAATTTCAAATTCGAAATGAATTAAAATCTGAAATTAAAACCTTCCTATTTTAAGATGCATCACATATGGAAAGTAATCAATTAGGGATTTGAAATTCATTAATGGACATTGATTGGAAATGTAATTAGGAGCCTTAACGGAAATAGGATTTAGAAAGGAAAGAGGGGCCAACGGCTAAAGGAGGGAGGGAGAAGTTAGGAAGGATTTCAAATAGTTTCCAAGCAAAGCAAATTTAATTAAAAGAGATTTAATGCCAATATCTCTTTTAATTTGAATTCAAATTCAAATTGATTTGATTGAGAAACTTTCCAAATATAACTCATGTTAAATTAGGAAAGAATTCAAATTTCAAATTGATTCAAGATTGAATTAATATCCTTCCAAATTCGTCATGATC